AGTTTCTAACACCCTTTTTCATCCTTGTTTTCCTCCTTAGCACTTATTACTTCCAAACACACCAAATATCTCAGCTATTTATTATGTTGTTTTTCATCTCCCTTGATACAATTTGAACTTCACAGAACAGGGTTTTTTTTGGGGGGTCTGTTTTTTTAGGCATTGTAGACTTAGAATCCTGTAACTGTCCCTGATGAATACTAGTTGATAAGTATTTGTCAAGTGAAAAATTATTTGCTTTTCATTGAGTTAAAAAACATATTTAATGTGTTATTTCTTAGAAAAAAAAACAGAACTATGGCATAGAGAATGAATTGACAAGAACAATCCAAATGTAATTTCTGCAGAAAGTTATGATAATTAATATTAAAAATTCAAAAGGTACTTTGAGCATATTTTGAATATAGTTTTCCCAGCAGTTCTACTTCCAGTAACAAGATGGGCTAGTATTGAAGTGATAACCCCACAAAAAACACCTTAAAATACTGGGGAAATATTGCAAAAAATAATACTACTGACAATATGGTAAAAAAAATATATATATCAGATGAAAACACAGAAAGAATCTAGAACAGTAACCTGAAAACTACAATGGCTTTTGAGGGTATTTCATATAGCTATTTAAACTGAGATTTATGGTCACAAACCTGAGGAATTTGCAGGAAAGAAAATATTTCCCAGGACATGTTACCGATTCTAATACAAGACACTCTCAACGACCAGGAGAATTGAAAGGTTGGTACTACCAACCTTTTATCAGTGACCCAGAAATAAATGTACTTCATCCTCTCTTTCAGGATTTCGTGAAAAGTTATCTTCGTACCAGACACACTGAATAAAAAACAAATATTTGAAACTTTATGTCTGCATGTTGGCCACTTGGATACATAACTCAAATGATCTGCCTATCAGTGAAACTCAAGTGATGCATTCACCTTAGCCAAGTGACAAGATTAAAATGTACAAAGGGTGACGTTTCATACATCTAATCGGAGCTCCAGAGGGGAAAGTAGAAAGAGAGAGAACAGAGGCCAAGACTTGGGGATATAATATATCAAATATTTGGGGAGGTAATAGCTCAGAGTTTTACAAAGCTACCTAGATCCTATTTTATGGATGTTTGGGGTGCTTTTATTTTTCTGTGTTGCCTTCTTCTAGGACTTTTCAGCAAACACAGTTGGAAAAAATGTATTTTTTAGAAAAAAATGGAAATTCAAGATCGCAAAATCTATTTAACTACTTAGATTTTATACTTGTATTGATACCTCTTTTCCACTGATAACCTGATTCCTAACACATTAATAGAAGCAAAATTACTTATTTACCTTCAATTTATTGTTATCTGCCTACCCACCCATATGTATTAATATTTCAACATAGCTAGGTTAACAGTCTTTTTGACTTTTCATACTAGAGTCAGACACGACTGAGTGACTGAACTGAACTGAGGTTAATGATACTTAAATAATGATATAAATATATGAAACAGGATTTATTTTCAGTTTTTAACTGTAGGTTATATACGACTCTAAACAGAATCAAAATATTGTGGGTTTAGTTCATAGTTCACATCACCAACTTTACATACTGTTAGACAGATTTCATTTCATTGCTTTCAACTTTAACAATTGCTTTATTAGGATATTTTATTTTATTTTGCTTTTAAATTATATAAAATACACGATTCCAAAGTCAAAAATATAAAACAAAATTTTTACTTTCATCTACATGCTTGTATTCAATTTTTAACAAAACAAAGTGAAATAAAACATTTTATGTTTGCCACTGTACTTCTGGACAGATAATTATAAATCAAATTTCTGATAAAAATGACTGTGGCTTCCCAGCTGGTACTAGTGGTAAAGAACCCTACTGCCAAAGAAGGTTAGACATAAGAGACTCGGGTTTGATCCCTGGGTCAGGAAGATCCCCTGGAGGAGGGCACAGAAACCCACTCCAGTATTTTCCCTGGAGCGTCTCATGGACAGAGAAGGCTGGTGGGTTGCAGTCCACAGGGTCACAGAGTGGGACCTGACTGAAGTGATTTAGCAGGCACGCACACATGTAACATTTGGGCAAGTATTGCAAATTACCCTTCATCGAAGAGTACTGTTTTGCACTTTTCTCAGCAACAACTGAGAATGTATCATTATTTAGATGCTTAGGCTTCCCAGGTGGCGCAGTGGTAAAAAATCCGCCTGTCAATGGAGGTGATGCAAGATATGCAGGTTTGATCCCTGGGTCAGGGAGATCCCCTGTAGCAGGAAACGGCAATCCACTCCAGTATTCTTGGCTGGAAAATTCTATGGACAGAGGAGCCTGGCACGCTACAGGCTATGGGGTCACAGAGAGTTGGACATGACTGAGCGACTGAGTGCACACATGCCCACACACACATTATTTAGAGGCTTGTCAAGAGACAATGTTGTCAAACGTTTCATTTGTTGTTACCTTAAAAAATGAATAATACTTTTTCAGAATATTACCTTGGAATCATTTTTACAAAGATCTCAAAATAGGTTTAAGCTTTTTTCATGTATTTAAAGATCATATTTATTTATGTGACAATTCTACATAATTATAATTAAATTTTCTATTAATTTGCTAGCCATTGTCTTTTCAATTGTGGGAAATTTAAATAGAACTGTAAAGGAATGATCTTGGAGACAAAAGAATATTATTCCAGATGGGGTATTTGAGATAGAAGAAAGGAAAGGAGGTTAAAGAAAGAGGCGAATAAACCAACTAAGTTCACACTTAAAAGCAATAATACCCCACATCATTAAATAAAATATTATCTTAAAATATAAAAATAACAAAAAAGCTGGGATGGTAAATCTACTGATACTGATCGAGGTCTTTGTTATTTAAAAGGAGACCAAAAAATTGAATTACATTTATATATATAAACACTAAAAATGCTTGACATAAAATTTAGATTAATCATTAAACAAACACAGAGTATATAATTTCCAACTTAGTGGAAGGAAAAATAAAGCAATAAAATACATCCAAAAATCTTAAGACTGCAGAGTACATAACAATCAGGGAAACTAGAAGAGTGTAAAATATGTTTAAATTGTAACCTAAAAATAATTGTCAACCTAAAACTCGCTTTTTTCGTTAACTGGCTTCAGAAAAAATTTTTTTAATATTTGGAAAGTATAAATTGAGACTATTTACCCCAAATGCCCTTACTGATAGGACTTCTAATTATTGTTCTTCAGAATATGATAAAACAATCCCAGCTGAANTTTTCCCATCTATTTGCCATGAAGTGATGGGACCAAATGCCATGATCTTAGTTTTCTGAATATTCAGTTTTAAACCAACTTTTTCACTCTCCTCTTCCACTTTCACTAAGAGGCTCAGTGACATCGGATGACGACGATGTGTGAAGGATTTCCTAACAGCTTTAGAATTTTAGTGTGATACATCTCTCATACAGTTTGGGGTGAATTGTAAAAATGAAGAATTATAATTTATGTAGTAAAATACCTCATTAGAAGATGATTTTTTGGGGGGACTTCAATATGAAGAAAACCAAGAATGTTGTGTTGGGCTGTGTTGAACATTATTTCTTTGTAAATGAATGTTGTAGAAATGAGGACTTTGGTTGATCCAACATTGACTTTCTTCATCACTGCAGCATTTCTCTGACTAGCAATGTGACGATGTAACAAATGAGAGTTTCTCATTTAATAATAAAAAAATTAAAATATGGCAAAATACTGGCAAATGAATTTGAATATCTTCAAACATAAAACAAAATAATATTGAAAAAGTAAAAGTAATATAAAAACAAAAAAGTTTAATATTAAGATAATTAATAAAGGGAAAAGTATTTGCTGATGAAAGGCATACTTTTGTAAAAAATAAACTTGTGTGCACAAACAATATAGCAAATAAATAAATAATGCAGAAGCAATAAACATGAAAGAACAAAAAATTAAATTTAAAAGATACATCAATCCATTAAATTTGCAATACATATACATGACAAAATATAACTATATAGATTAATTTATTATTATACCAACATATTAAATTATTTATGTTTCTCACATCAAATTCTACAACTGTTTCAAGTAGTATTTTTTCCGAGCCCAGTCTCCTGCTTCTGCTACAAATCTCTACCAAACAACTCAGATATATAAAGTAATTTCAAAGTTGCAAATAATGAACTTTTTGGATATATAGCTGCATTGTGTTACTAATACACCATATTGTCTCTCCAGCAGTTAAAAATCTGTGTTTTAATTGTTTTTGCTTTGATCTTATTTGAGTACCTCTGTAATTTTTACCTAAATGGAATATGTGTCTAAAATAAATTCTTAACTCGATTTTTAATAAGATATGTTAAAACAATCTTTTGAGCATTTTGAAAGGCAATTTACTTTTTAAAATCTGTTTTATACTATCAATTTAATACTTCTGATTCTTTTCTAAATCCCATCTATAATACAGTGATACAATATATTTGTTGTCTCCTTGTTCATTAATCTTCATTGAATTATGAATCAATGTAAAGTAAAATTTGATGTCAAAATTAAATGTATTCACTTTGTATTAAATTGTTTAATATGATAAACAGATTTTAACCCATTTTTTGCATACACATTAGATATGGATGAATGATACATGTCTAAATAGCTGACTGCAAGAGAAATTACCTCAAGAGTTTGTCGCCATTTTTAAAAGAAAAAAATAATTAATTAAGAAACAGATTTCACTGTCTTCCCCAAGTATAATCTATATAAATTTATATCCCACTGTGAATAATTTCATAATACCAAAAAAGAGAAATCTGACAGATTTTCCTAGTTTTTAATATTTTAAAAACCACCCTTAGGCTGACTCTATAGCAATGTTGGTTTTCGTTTTGGTTTTTTTTTTAATGTGTTGATCTAAAAAATATTTTTTGAACTTTTATAAAAATTATAAAGGTTCCTTTTCATTTACTCTCTGCAAAATATTGGCTATTTTATGTTGTACATTACCTTTTTGAGGCTTATATCCAATAGTTTGTAACTCCCACTCCCTCACTCCTATATTGCCCTTCCCCCCAAACTGGTTACCACTAGTTTGTTCTCTGTCTGCTTCTTTGGTTATATTCATTAGTTCGTTATATATTTTTAGATTTAAAATGTAACTCATATCATACAGTATCTTTCTTGCTCTGTCTGACTTATTTCAGTTAGTATAATGCCCTCCATATTCATTCATGCTTCACTGGTCATTATTTCTTCAATATTAGAAGACAGATATTTTGGTTGGATGTGACAGTTGGACTATAACGTATGCTGAGCACCAAAGAATGATGCTTTTGAACTGTGGTGTCGCAGAAAATTCTTCTGAGTCCCTTGGACTGCAAGTAGATCCAACCAGTCCATCCTAAAGGAGATCAGTCCTGAATATTCACCACAAGGACTGATGCTGAAGCTGAAACTCCAATACTTTGGCCACCTGACGCAAAGAGCTGGCTCATTTGAAAAGACCATGATGCTGGCAAAGGTGGAAGGCAGGAGGGGAAGGGGACAACAAAGGATGAGATGGTTGGATGGCATCACCAACTCAATGGACATGAGTCTGAGTAAACTCTGGGACTTGGTGATGGACAGGGAGGCCTGGTGTGCTTGCAGTCCATAGGGTCGCAAAAAGTCAGAAGCAACTGAGCAACTGAACTGAACTGATTTTGGTTCAGTCAGAAGACACAGCTTCACAGACAGTAATTCAGTTTCTCTTGTGAGCTGTCAGCACAAGAGTATCTACTTGCAGTCTGCCTTCCAAGGGCAACAAAGCAGATTTATTTCCAGAGTTCTGACATTTGAATAATTTAAAAAGTACACAATAATTACAAAATATAGTTATGTATAACTAAAAAAAACAATTTACACACACTCACACACATAGACACACACATATTTAGAGCTAAAAATTTTCAGCAAAGTTCAGGATATAAAATAAACACACAAAGTAGTTGTGTTTTTATCAAAACAGCAATAACAAAGCAAAAAAAAAGAAATTAAGAAATCAGTACACAAAAACAAACTCAAAGTGGATTAAAGATCTAAATGTAAGATCACAAGCTATAAAACTCCCATGGGAAAACATAGGCAAAACACTCTCTGACATAAACCACAGCAGGATCTTCTGTGACCCACCTCCCAGAGTAACGAAAATAAAAGCAAAAATAAACAAATGGCACCTAATTAAACTTAAAAACTTTTTCACAATGAAGGAAACTATAAGCAAGGTAAAAAGACAGCCTTCAGAATGGGAGAAAATAATAGCTAATGAAGCAACTGACAAAGAATTAATCTCAAAAATATATAAGCAGCTCATGCAGCTCAATTCCAGGGGAATAAACGACCGAATCAAAAAATGGGCCAAAGAACTAAACAGACATTTCTCCAAAGAAGACATACAGATTGCTAACAAACACATGAAAAGATGCTCAACATCACTTATTATCAGAGAAATGCAAATCAAAACCACAATGAGGTACCATCTCACACCAGTCATAATGGCTGCTATCCAAAAGTCGACAAGAAATAAATGCTGGAGAGGGTGCAGAGAAAAGGGAACCCTCTTACACTGTTGGTGGGAATGCAAACTGGTACAGCCACTATGAGATTCCTTGAAAAAACTGGAAATAGAACTGCCATATGACCCGGCAATCCCACTGCTGGGCATACACACCAAGGAAACCATAATTCAAAGAGACACATGTACCCCAATGTTCACTGAAGCACTGTTTACAATAGCTAGGACATGGAAGCAACCTAGATGTCCATCGGCAGATAAGTGGATAAGAAAGCTACGGTACATATACACAATGGAATATTACTTAGCTATTAAAATCAAGGCATTTAAATCAGGTCTAATGAGGTGGATGAAACTGGAGCCTATTATACAGAGTGAAGAAAGTCAGAAAGAAAAATGCCAATATAGTATAATAACGCATATATATGGAATTTAGAAAGATGGTAACGATGACCCTATATGCGAGACAGCAAAAGAGACACAGACATAAAGAACAGACTTTTGGACTGTGGGAGAAGGTGAGGGTGTGATGATGTGACAGACTAGCATTGAAACATGTATATTACCATATGTGAAATAGATCACCAGTCCAAGTTCGATGCATGAGACAGGGCTCTCAGCGCAGGTGCACTGGGATAACGCTGAGTGATGGGATGGGGAGGGAGGTGAGGGGGGGATTCAGGATGGAGGACACATGTACACCCATGGCTGATTCATGCGAATGTATGGCAAAAACCACTAAAATATTGGAAAGTAATTAGCCTCCAATTAAAATAAATTAATTAATTTACAAAAAAAAAGAACCCCCCCAAAATTTTTTATAATAACACCCAGAAGAATAAAATATTTAGTGATATGTTCAATAAAATAAGCACAAAATTTAAATTCTGAAAAGTACAAAATATTGATGAAAGATAATAAAGAAGATCTAAACAAATGGAAAGACATTCCATACTCATGGATCAGAAGACTTGATATTGACAAGCTGGCAATATGACCCTAACTAATCCCATCTATACACTCATCACAATCCAAATCAGAATCACAGCTGCCTTCTTTGTAGAAATGGACACGTTCTTCCTTTAAATTCTTATGGAAGTTCAAAACAACAATAAAAAGTCAAAACAAGTTTGAACAAAGAAGAACAATAGGGTAACTTATGTTTCCTATTTCAAAAGTTACTACAAAGTTACAGTAATTAAAACAATGTGATACAGGCATACAGATACATATGTAGATCAATGGAACAGAAATAATCCATACACATTTGATAACGGATCCTTAACCATGGTACCAAGATCATTCAATTGAGACAGAATATACTTTTCAACACATGATTTCAAGACAACTGATATCCACATACAAAAGAAGGAAGCTAACACCAAAACTTATACCACGTACAAAAATTACTTAAAGTGGGTCAAAGACCTAGATATAAAGTCACAAACTATAAAACTCTTATAATAAAACCTAGATGTAAATATTTGTGACCTTCACTGGGCAACAGTTCCTGAAATATTTCAGTAAAAACACAAGTGATAAAAGAAAAAAATTAATTGTAGTTCATCAAAAGTAAAAACTTCTGTGCATCAAAATACACTATCAAAAAAGTAAAAAGACAACCCAAACAATGGCAGTGAGTATCTCCAAATTACATAACTGATAATATATAAAGAACTCTTGTAAAAATACACATAAAATGATTAAAACATAACAAGGTTATGAACATGTCTCAAAAAAGATATACAGATGGCTACTGAGCACATAAAGAGATGCTTGATATCATCAGTCATCAAGGAAATGAACATCTAAAGCACAGTAGCATTCTACTTGACATCCAGTAGAATTATGATAATCAAAATGTCAAATAGTAGCAAGTGATGACAAGCAACACTTTCTGATAAATATCACTGGGAATCACACAGTTTATGTGAATTACATGCATGTGAATTTTCTCAGTAAGGTCAGGTGCTCACTTGCTAAGACCTGTCCAACCCTTTGTGATCCTATGGACTATAGTCTGCCAGGCTCCTCTGTCCATGGGATTCTCTAGGCAAGGATACCAGAGTGGGTTGCCATTCCCTATGCCAGGGGATCTTCCCCACCCAGGAACTGGACCGGATCTTGTGCAATTCCTGCATTGGCAGGTGGATCCTTTACCACTAGTGCCACCTGGGAAGCCCATATCTCAGTACAGCATTATCTCAGTAGAGCCGTTACAAAAAATTACTTGTCCGCATGTGTCAATCTATTTCTAGACTCTCTAACCTCATTTCATTTATATAGTTGTATGTGTTGATGTAAAAACACGCTGTCATAATTTTGTTGATTCATAGTAAGTTTGAAGTCAGGTTAGCCCTTTTGAATTTGTCCTTGTTTTCTGTAAGTTATTTTGCCAATTATATGTACTTAGAATATCTGAAAGAATTAAACAGTGTATCAATTTCTGTAAAAAGCCTGCTGAGATATTAATAGCTATTTAATTCATCTTAACATCTTATATATTTGACATCTTTATAATATGCAAACTTCTGAGACATGACCAAGGTACCTCTGTCTTTTTATTAAGCCTTCCTTAATTACATAACGTCAATGAACAATGTTTTCAGTTCGCAAGTCTCACACATTTTCTTTAAGGCATATATTTTGAGATTATTATAGATGTTATCTAATTTTGTTTTTAAAAATTCTCAGAGGGTTTTTTATATTAACATAGCACATAACAACCTTCCTATACTCATATATTAGTTAGAGCAGCAGTTTTGTAAATCCATCAGATTTTCTACATTGATTATCCTGTTGTTTGCAAATTAAGATAGTTTATCAATACTTCTTCCTTTCCAATCTGGATACTTTTGTTCATATTTTATTGCCTAATTAAAACTTCCAGCACAATATTAAATAGAAGTATGAGAGTGAGATATACTTGTCTTTTCCTGATTTCAAGGAGAAAACATTCAGTCCTTTGCTATTAATCACGATGCTTGCTGTAGAGTTGACATAAATGCTTATGTCAGGCTGAAGAAACCTTTTCTCTTAGTTTGCTGAAAGTTTTTCTTTACAAAAGTTAATTTGGGGTTTTGTTCAATTTCTCCCACAGCTGTTGAGATTACTGACATTGGCAATGACTAATCAGAAGCAATCTCAAGCTGGACATGAGATCATCTATAACTCAATAACACATTGGAGGAGAGGACATTTAGACAAAATTAATGGAGGCACTGGATTTTGGGTATGGACCAAAAGTATCCATTCACCTGTCTTTCAGGTGAAGCTACTTTTTCCTATTCCCCAAACTTGTCATCAGACAAAACTGAAATCTTCAGGATGCTTCCTTTCAGGCCTGTCTGACTTTGTATATTCTATCTAATGTTTCCAGATTATACATTCTCAATATCTCCATGTGCATGATGTACCTCCAAGTATACCATAAGTTTAAAAAAATCATTAGGAATTTTTTCACATAGAGTGTTAGTAATTCCATTTTCAGGCTGCTCCATGGAAATAAATACAAACAGAGAGTTGTCCTTTTTAATACAGAACACTAATAATATAATACATATAGTATTTGG